TATATATATATATATATATATATATATAAATAAACAGGACACTTAAAATGATCTGCTTTAAAGCCTAGGCTAGGGAGCTCCACTGTAGGCAATCAGTCCAGGTGGGATATTCCCGTCCCCTATGAGCGGAGTGTTAATCTCAGTAAGATTTCAGATTTCTCATCTTTTAAATATTGAATGTAACTTTCATATTGTTTTCCACTCAGTTGTGTTTGTTGTTATAGGTAAGAACTCTAAAGGAGTCATTCCGAGAGCCTTCGAGCAGTTCAGACTGAAATCATGTGTCGACTTTAAGCCCGGACAGCAGAAGAGTTTTACATCTCTGTGGAGAGTCGTGAAGGGTACGCTATGCTTCAAATTAGTAATCAGGAATATCAGTAATATATTATAGAATGGTCTGATACGGCATGTGCTATAGTGAATGTGTAGAGTAAAATATTTGAGTGAATTATTTACTAGTCAAAAGTTCAGACACGTTTCCTCGTAAAGGCTTTTGTCAAATAAGGTCTTTAAACACATATTGTTCATTGGAAATAAAATGCACAGTTTTAAAGTAAAGTTCTTGAATAATCTGACTAGTAGTGTCGTTACCTTTATCCAGCTATGTGTTGTGTGACTGTGAGTGATTCCGCAGGTGTTGGTCATATATCGGACGCTCGTCTCCTGGAGGACAGACTCTTTCCATTGGAGAGCGCTGTGGAAGAAAAGGCATCGTTGAGCACCAGTTTCTCCACGCTCTGGGATTGAACCATGAGCATTCGAGATATGACCGAGACTATGAAATCTATATGAAATCTAATCAACTATGAAAACATCAGGGAAGGTTGCTACATCATTTTATTGTTCACGTTTAGTGCTGTTTCTAAGGAAGCACTGTAAAATAGTGATTAGATTCATTTGTTTTCCATACTGAGTGTCAGTATTACTAAAGAGCACCTACAGAAAACAAGCCTTGCCTTATGAGCAATCACCTTAATAATGGCAATATTCTTTATTTTTAGGGTATGAGAGTAATTTCAATAAGCACAGTGAGAACGTGTTCACTACCCAAGAAAGCCCATATGATTATTACTCTGTGATGCATTTGGATAAAAATGCCTTCAAAAACTTTAACGGACCCACGATCATAACCAAGAGTCCGGAGCTCCAAGACGTGATCGGACAACTCATGGAAATGAGCGAATATGATGCGATTGAGCTCAACAAACTCTACAAATGCAGTGAGTATTTGACAGTTTTCATTTGTGGCCTTTAATTAAGTCACTGCAGCTGGACCAATATTTGACGACCAAGGACCATTTTGATGAATGTAAATGGTAATGAATTGATTTAGTCTCAGTGCTTGTTTGTTTGCATTACAGATTCCTCGGTCTCTTTCCTCGACCACTGTAGTTTTGATGAGGAATCTCTGTGTGAGATGAGCGTCAGTTCTGCTGCTGGTTACGGCTGGCAGAGAGAGAAGTCAGTGAGTGGCATCAATGTGACCGACCACACATACTTGGGCAAAGAACAGAACGGTGAGACCCGTCACAGAAAGCGTCTGCTTGGACATCAGAGAAAGAGACTTCACTTAAATGAACTCACTTCCATCCACAGCTGCAGTCACTGTTCCACCATAAACTAAACAGCTGTTCTGATGCCTGCAGGGACGTCTTTCTTCATGCACTTCAGCACTGAGCGCAGAAACGAGGGCGACGCAGCCAGACTGGAGAGCAAGACACTGACCCCTACGAGAGACTGCAAAGTCCAGTGTCTGCAGTTCTACTACTATCACAGCGGTCACGAGTCCGACCCGCTCAACATCTGGATCCGAGAGCTGCAGAATCAAGCAGACAGCACGGGAGCTCTCAGACTCATGGATCAGATCACAGGTCCGTCTCTTCCTGCACAACTGGACACATCACACAACATATAGTCCTGTATTTCAGAGTCACTGACCTTCGGTTTCTTGCAGAAACCCCTGGGAATTACTGGAAGCTGCATCATGTGCAGTTGAACGCAAATAAGTCTTTCCAAGTTGTGTTTGAAGCGCGTAAAGGAGCTGGAAACTCCAATGGAGGCTTCTCACTGGACGATATCAATATTTCAGAGACAGAGTGTCCCCTCATATGGCAGATAAGGGACATTGAGAAGGAACTGAACAGTGGGTTCAGGGAACTGTACAGTCCACTGTATTACTCCAGTGATGGGTATCGCTTTGGGGCTCGGTTATTAGAGTCCAGGAATCAACTTACAATATCTCTTTCTCTGGTATCTGGTGCGTGTGATGAGCAGCTGCAGTGGCCTTGTCCATGGAGGCAAATAACCGTCCAGATCCTGGACCAGAATCCACACATACAGAAGCGCATGTCCTTTGAGCAGAGCGTCACCACTGACCCTGACTTGACTCGTTATGGTTAGATCTTTAATGCAATCAGGTTTATTTTTCTGTAATTTTTCATGCGTTTATATGAAACATTTTACTCAAATGAGAATCAGTGTTATTATCTGTAGCTTTTATGGTTCTTTTGAAAGCCATGTTTTGTTCTCTCAAAAGACAAGTATACACAGACAAAAAAAAGCACTTTAAAAATAACACTATATTTAATGAATAGTGTAGGAGAGAACATGCTGTATTGTGTGAATATAGTGACACATGTAAGGCTGGAAGCTTATGTTACTATTGTGAACTAATAATCATAACAAAATACAGGTGAAGGATGACGTGCATAATTCAGTTATTAATATGACTCCATTTAAGATTTGTTATTCTTTGGTCTCCTATTCTTTAAAGGCAAAAGTCTTTCTTAGAACTGACTGGAAAATACAGGATTGAACCTGAACGTGTACATAATGAAAGCCACAATGACTTTAGCTTTCAACATTATCAGTGATAAAAGGAAAGATTCGCAAAGCCTTTAATGCAGACAAAGATACACGGTATGTTAATATACAGACAGTAGAATGAAACTAAATAGAACAACTTCTGCTGTCCAGAAGAGCCTTTCTCCAAAATCAACTCAACCTTTTCTTCTTAAACTCTGAGCAAAGCGTTGACACACGTCATGAATTTTTCCTCATCCAATGGAAACAAAACTACAGGCTTTTATATATTAATATTGCTTAGGCCTACAGAATTATGTGATTACAGATGTTGCGTTTGTGATTTTTATGTAGACTCAAGAAACATTCAGAAACAGGTGCTGTTTTAAAGCCTTCTTCTTTTGTCAATCTGTTAGTTCTGTTAGTGTACACGGTCTTTGCCAGCAAGTCGGGATCTTTGCACTAAATGAAACTGAATGTACATTTATTTAGGTTGCATTGCTTTTAGCGTCTTGCACGACCGCTGTCTTAGGTTTTTCATATTCTATGGAGGAGAAAAAGCTTAATGTAAAATATGATTTGTTTCTTTGGCTTGCACTGTCAAAGTTTTGGTAGTAAATTGTGCATAAGACAAGGAGAGTGTGATAAAAAATGACTTGGTTTCTGGTCGTTGTTTTTACCGCACTACGCCACATAATAAAACTAAGCGCTATACAGTAGTAATGTGAGATGATTTATCAGTGATCAAACCTGCATGATAAACATGTAATAATACTATTTTATCAGCATGTGCGCAGAACACACACATTAAAACTATAGAGGCTCCAGCTCGCCCATGTTTAATGTGCTCTGCTTGACCGCCCCCTACTGGTCATGTGTTTCCTGTAGCAGAGCGTTCCTCGCGGTCCTGCGCGAACACTTTCCATGTGCATTCTCAATGGCCACATCTGCACATGTACACCTTTACAGGCATTACTGCTGTACTGATATTCACTCAGTCCGACGCAGCTGCAGGCCGCTGCTTTACCCTTCTAAACAACATTTCTGTTTGTTCCTTAGAGTTGCTTCCACACCTCAGCCGATCTCAACAACTACAACTACAACTCCCACTACAGCTGCAGCAGAGCCCGCTGAGGGGTAAGACTACAACACCAGTTTAATCACAGTCATTGAGTGGCATCCCAAACATCAAGAGCATTGCTACACGAGAACGAGAACAGCTATCAGCTGTGGCAGGAGTTTCATAACCGTAAATATTGCTGGGTATTCATGCACATCTCCCAATTCAATTCAATTCCGACTCATAAGCTTTGAGCAACTTTGATCTGATCATGATTATGAGTTTAGCTCTAACTTGCCCCAAAACACCTGTCTGGAAGTTTCTAGTACGTCTAGTAATACCTTCATTACCTAATTTAGCTGTGTTTAACTGGGGTTGGAACTGAACTCTGCAGGACAGTGGCCCTCCACGACCGAGTTTTACAACAACTGAGGACATCCGAAAATGTCCAGAGAGAAGATTAATTGCACATATATATATATATATATATATATATATGAAAATATGCTTGACTTGTCTTTTTTTTTTTTAAATGTTGCTGATATTTGTTTAGTTTGATTACAATAATTGGTCACATCTTAGTTTGGGGACCAGTTGCTTATTAAAATGTATATAACTGGCATATTTGATGATTATTAATACTTATAAAGCACATATTAATGCCTTATTCTGCATGACCATATTCTACATCCCTTATTCCACCCCATACCTAAACTTAAACGCTACAACTACCTTACTAACTCTTGATAAGCAGTAAATTAGGAGTTTATTGAGGCAAAAGTCGTAGTTAATAGTGAATATGTTTTACTTGAGTGTTGCCGCACCAACCAATGAGAGTGATTTTGAACCAAAGGCTGATTGGTCAAAAATATATAAGTTATTTACAAATATATAAACCTGCGCTGGCTCTGTCTTTCTCACACTCACGCACGCGCGGTCACCATATAATAACGCCAGATCGTTTCAAAACAAATGCTGAAGCGCAAAAATCCCAAACCTGACATTCTGTGGATGAGGAGCGGACTCAAATGAAGCAGAGCTCACGAGTCTTTCACAGAACTGCTGAAATGATTCACTGCATGCACCTTACGTTATTAAAATATATGCAGTGAAATGAGTATATTTCTATTGCATTAATGATGCTTGTACCTGTCTCTCGTCTCTTTTAGTGAGTGTGTGGACATCTTTTGCAGTTCCAGTGTCACGACTGCTTCCACTCTGATCATCTTGGTGCTCTGCTTTCTTTTGCTAGTCAGTTAATCATGACGAATCGCTATTATCACTGCAAAAAACTACATCTATCTTCAGCCATGTGATAGTTAAGGGTGTATTGTTAATTAACTGAGATTCTTACCTGTCTGTATTCATTTATGTAAAACCAGTGCTAATCTTAGCTTTAAACATAATAGTTATCAATATATTATAATGTTAAGCTCTTATTGTAATCATAATAAATGATTCACACATTCTCTGAAGAGGTTTGGGTGAATATTTACAATATTTGTGTATTTTCAATGTGATAAATCACTGCCTGAACACTATTGGTAGAGTAAATCCCAAAAGTAATCAGTTTTATGAATATAACTAAAATGTTCAAGTGTGTGAAACGTGTGTTGAACTGCATTGATGAAATAAAATGGATTGCATTAATACTGCTGGCATTTTAATGCATTGTATTTTCAGGCCTTGCATTTTTGGGGCTGAAATTCAACACAGTTGTATATATATTTAAGCTGTGAATATTTCAAATGAAAACATTTCATACACAGTTTCTTTTTTTTTTTATTCAATATTCCATAGAGTTCATTTAAAAAAAATGCCACCTATAATATTCAACAAGCAATGTATTTCACTTTACAAATTCAGTTCAACAACTTCCAGATAGAGTCATTCATTCATTCATTCATTCAATCCTTCACAAAAACTGATTTACAGAAATGGGACAAGCGGTAAGTAGAAACCGAAATCAGAAAAGTTTGTGAATGCATGTAGACAACAGCCAGATACAGGTCGCATGTTAATGCCAGGTGTAAACACATTTCACTAGTTAATTAGTTACGTGGCTGTTTATTAGTATAAAGCACTTATTCTACATGACCATATTCTACATCCCTAATCCTACCTAATATCTAAACTAACAACTATCTTACTAACTATTAATAAGCAGCAAATTAGGAGTGTATCATAGTATACACATGTTCATGTTTCCTTTCATTTTCTTTCGTGATGTGATCTTGATCAGATGTTGAAACGCATCACATTGCATTAGGACACTGTGTACGTGTCGTAACTCTCCACTTTATAAATTCATAATTCTGTGTAATTATGTACCATTTTTTTCTAATCGGTCTCTCGCAGTTCTCTGAAGAGGCAGCGCGCTGTCAAAGCTTTCTGTGGTGACTCTTCATTCTCAGGTTTCAGTTTCTGACCTTTCTGCAAACCCGTTTGACCAGTTAGTTAAAAAGAGTGATTAATTTGCATATCTGGCAGCACTAGTTCTGATTCTAAACAGAGGATAGACAACACATACGACTTGATTGCTGTAATTATCAGAGAAAACAATATACATCAATCATATCAACACAAGCATTCATCAGGGGCTCATATGCTCCTGTAAGAAGGGTCTAGCGATGCCTGTGTGTCACTAATTTGAACTTATTTTCCTAAATAAAAGTGTATACTTGACACTCCTGTCTTGGTTTATTCTTGTCAGAGTTTGTTTCTTGACATACATAACTTATCTTTGACAACACAGGCATTACACACAGCTTTAATCACAAACACATGCATATAATAAAAAATGGAAAGTGGTTGTTAATTACATAAACCTCATATGAAACTAAAACACAGAATACAGGCAATTCTATTTAATGATTTGTCATTTATTTTTAAAAGCATTACACTTTTAAGAAAACATTAATGTGTCATCATACTACTACTACTACTACTGGGTCTTGCCTTGTTAGACAGAATGGCATTTACTGAAATCGCACCTCTGGCGTTTACTGTATTCTATTATTTCTATGCAGTCTTGAGATCGTAGACTCGAGCGCGAGGACGGAACTGTTATTATGGTCTGGCCGTGTGACGTCATCAGCGTCTGTTGCGGTCGGATGAAGAGAGGTTTGTGCTTTTTAAAACTTTTGAGCGTTTAACTCAATGTCAGCCACTCGGAAAAGTCTATAGTTTTTAGCAAGAACCGTGAAATGTATTAGCATCAAAGGAAATAGACAATATCCAGGGAATAACTTAAATTAACAAAATAAAAAGTTTCAAGTATTCTATTCGTTTTTCGTCTTTCTCAGTTTATTTCGTTAGTTACATTTCAACAGTATGGTGTTTTGTTTATAGTTTGCTCAGTTTATGGATTCTTCCTTCAGTTTACAAATGAAAATGTATTTTCCAACTTTATTGGCGAGGCCAGATTTACTAGATAACTTCCAGACCTCTTTCCACTCGGTTTGACATAAAGTTAATTTTTAGTTGCTTTAGATAATGTATTTCTGCATGTTGACTGTTAAAAGATTTAATTATTCTG